TAACACTTAAGAGGTGTGTGACCTTGGACAAGTTAATCAACCTCTCTAAGCCTCAGTTTATTCATTTGTAAAATGGAGAAAATAATATCTATGTTATCTCTCACAGGGTTGCTGTAAGGCTCATTGGACATAACATTCATAAAACAAACTTTATAAAAATATATAAATGTCAGGTTACCATTGAAATGTCTAAATTAAATTTGTATCCCCCCCCACACTCTACCCTACAGTGAAATGTAAACCCCTTGGACTTTTTTTTTTATTCCTTGTTGTTAACACATAGTAGGGGCTTATTAAGTTGTCATACTGAATTAAGGTTTCATTGTTCTAAAAGTTTTCTTATATTTTCTGAACCTAGTTTTTCCAAAGTGATATCTTTACTGCTGTTCCCCTCTGTCTTTTCCCTTCACACATGTAGCCTCAACACTGACTTCTTTCTTAACCTATTGCCAATAAGTCTTATCTCCAGGTAATCATTGTTTATTCTCTTGTCTCTTTTAAAAATACTAGTATAGATATTAATGTCTCTAAAACCCAAATTATATTTTACCCTTCTAGCCCTTAGCTAAATGTATTAATTTCAATATATATGTAATTGGGGGGAATGAGTGAATGCATTGCCCTTCTGAGTTATAGCCAATTCTCAAAGCACACAGATAACATGGGTTGTTGAGTGCTGAAATAAGCCCCTAAACTTCATACTGCCAATGATTTCAGTTTTCTTTTTCTCCAAGAGTAATTACAGAATGATTAACAAATATAAAAATTGGTGAGTTTTGTTTTTCTTTTTGTTTTGTTTTGTTTTGTTTGTTAATGTCTTTCTATTTATGTCTACTCTAGGGTAAAGGTGCTAAGAATCAGGGAAATAATGACAGGTAGAAAATCAAGAAACCTAGATAATTTACCAACTGGTTAATTGCTCTTAATAACTAAGGATGATTTGTACCTTCACTCTGCAGTAGCCACGTGTTTCAGCTCAGTGGTGAAAGGTTCCTCAATCTCAAGATATCAGACGACTAAAGCTCATTTTGCTTAGGACTGAACATATGGTCAAGCAATGTTTATCCAGGTTTCATTTTGTTGGGATTGGCCTCTTAGTAACATGGACTTTGTTTATGGAGAGAAAGGATGACAAGGCTAGGTAATTATAACTGTCCATTCAATGAAGAAACAAAGAATTGGAATTCAGTATTATTTTGTCACCTGTGGTGAGAAAAAAAATACACACACACACACACACACAAAATGAATGGCCAAATAAAAACATAATAAATAACAGTATTTACTGTTAATAGAAATTTATTTACATCAGGTCAGAGGACTATAATTTTCCTTTAGATGTGGTATTTTGCCTGTCCTTGAAAAAAATAATTCTTTGTTTACACTACCTAGAAAAAACAGGATTTGTGTTTTGTTTTTCTTTCATCTTAAAGAATGTCAGCAACTCTAATGCTGAAGAAGGAATCCTAGAGATCAAAACTCTTTAATAATGCCTATAATTATATATTTTTTCATACAATAATCATACATCCCTTTATTAATTAATGTCAGAATGTTAGAGTTTGAAATTACCTTGGAGACAATGTAGTCCAACTTCTAGTTTTATACATAAGGAAAATGAGGTAAAGAAAGAAGTGACTTCCCAAGTTACACAGGGGAAAAGTTAGAGTTAAGAGTTGTCTCTCTCAAATCTATTACCAATTGCATTTTTACCTCTCATACTCCCTTCCTCCACCAGTACAGTACCAGTACCAGTAAGTTGGATGACTTGACATTCCTTTTAAATCTTTCCCTTTTCCCATGTTCTTGTCTTTGTTCCTGAATGTAATGACTTTCATTGAATTTCCCTATATTAAATCCTACCTGTAATTGTATCCCAAATGAAATGTCACTTTCTCCATGAAGCCTTTCCCGACCACCCACCCCAAAATGAGCTCATCTTTCTCTGTATCCAGAAGCAACCACTGTCTCTAGTGGGGTTGATAGTTTTTTCCTGTTATTTTATTGTTCTAATTGAACAAATCTACTTGTTGATCCTCCTGACTTCACATAATTAATCTGCTAAAGGATGGAGAAGGATGACTGATGGTTATGGGGGTCTAGCTGCAATTATAATCTGCCAGTCACCTACTCTGGCAGGGGGTGGTGGGATGGTATGGGGTGGAACCTTGAAAGTCCTGAAATCAGGGTGCTTTTAAAAATATAAGTCTTTAGGATTTTCTGCTTTTTTAGGATTTTTAGGATTTTTCTGTGTCCTCACCTTTCTTCCTCTCTTCTTTCTTCCTTTCCTGCTTTTTTCCCTCCCTCCTTTCCTTCCTAATTGGCAACCTTTAGTGTCTATTTGATTTCTAGACCCTTTACTGAAATTGTTCACCAGCATATCAATTATAGTAATTGCAGTGGTGATTTTCATGATTAGCACACACATCTTTTTTCTAATAACTGAACTGAAGTCATGTCAGGTGCTAACTAATTTCATTTATTGATCCTGAACGAGTAGATTTAAATAGACAGTGCTCTCATGTGTTGTTCTTCTATTGAATTCCCTCATTGACTTTTAAAGAAAAATGTAAAGCATCAAAGGTTTTTGATAAATGTCATATTCAATATTTTTGAGAACATGGTTTTTTTATTCCCTGCATGACAAATGCCAAGAAACTTTCCTTCACTGCTCTCACTAATGGCTTACTACTTTGGATGGAATAATTTGTCATTCTCTGTGTCCATTTTTTTTTACAACTGACATTTCATACTGTGATGTGCATTATCCCACCTGTCACCCTGACAGAACCATAACTAGGTTGGGGGGAATGGGACTTTGCCCTAGGTTTCCAACAGTTGGGGGTGGATGGGTGGTATGTGCTCCTTCCTGAAGCAGCACTGTTTGTGATTCTCTCTGCTGCTATGAATGACTATATAGCATTACCACCCCTAAGACTCCGATGTCATGCAGTCTTTTTGGGCATCTCCTCCTCCCCAACCCCGTCAAGATGTGTAAGTTGAACCCTCTTAAGAATGGGCCATCTCTTCTCTCAGCACAGCTGTATCCAGAATCAGAATTTCCTCTGTCCTTCTGTCTCCATATCAACCTAATTTGCCCTAGGCGTAATTTCCAGTTCTGACTTTGCAATCTGATCCAGTTTTCAGGAAGAGCTCTGAACAGAGGAGGAAGTAAGGATATCTGGATCACTTTAGATCTTATGGTTTAATTATCTTATGGTTCTTATGAGTTAATCCTTCATTATTTGACTTCCTTATGGTACTTAAACCATACTTACAGTTACCTTTCAAACTGATCCTGTATTACCTGAGAGGCAGAATGATATAATGCAAAGAAAGAGTGCTGGATTTAGTCTCAGGAAGACCGGTGTTCAAATTCTGCCACTTACATTTATGAACTGTGTAACCATGGACAAGTCATATAACTTCTCAAAGCCTCAGTTTCTTCATCTACAAAACAGGGAAAACAGAACATGCACAAACTATGGATTAGTTGCAACACTCAAAATGTATTAAAACACTTTAGATAGATACTTTAAAATGCTACATAAATGTCATTATTGTTCACAAGAAGGTGCATGACAGAACTTTAGAATGAATCATAATTTTATTTTATCATGATGATGTTAATATTCTTAAGATTGTTTTGTATTGCTCATTTCACAGATAACAAGGACTGATTGATAGCATTAGATGTATTTTTATATACATGTGTCATAATTTCCCAACATGCAAGTTCCTTGTGGGTGTAGAATTGAATTGTATTTGAACAGAGTTGACCATACAACACTGATGAGTTTAGTCTTTGCGGACCAAGTTTTGTTTCCTCAGTGCCTTTTATATGTTCCGATTAGACCAGTTTAATAAAAAAAAAAACATAGTTTGAAAAGAGAATTTCCAATAGATACAATATATCTGTTTGATGGTTATTAATAACATTAGCACCAACATGTTAATTTCACAGGGGAGAAAATAATTTATCAGAATTGTGACAATATTCATGTTCTTAGTTAATATTTTGTCTGATTAATCAAGTCCTTTTTATTTAAGGATATATACCATGAGAGGAATGGAGACTCTTTAAGCCACAGTGTATCTTCATTCCGTCCATTCTCTGTATCACCAACATAGTTTAGGCATTTATTACCTCTCTATTTTACTATTACAGTAGACTCTTAACTGATCTATCTCTAGTGCCTCTCTCTTTCTACTCCAGTTTATCCTGCACAGTGCCTCTAAGTTAATCTTTCTATGGCACAGTTTTATCATGCCATTTCCTTGCTCAAAACCCTCCAATAACTCATTGCCTGCTGAATAAAGTCTGGACTCTAGTTTAGCATCCAAGGTCCTTACCAGCTGGTCCCAGCCTAACTTTCCAGATCTTTTTCACACGTATACCCTTTTCTATAGTTTAACTTGACTTCCCACTGTTCCCTGAACATGCTTTACAATGAAAAATATCACTTGTTCTATATATCTTGTCTTCTACTAGATTGTAAGCTCTATGAGAGCAAGAGCTATGTCTTATTTATTGTTATATTCCCTGGAGCTCCCTAGGATAACATTCATTAGATTTCATTGGACTATTTGTTGAATTAATAAACAAATGTATAAACTTCTGGAATTGAGGGTTTATAAAATATACCTAATATTTAGTTGCACTAATTAACTTATACCTAAAAAACTTCCTCTAGCAATTTTTAAAAAGTTTTACATTTGGTTGTATACACATCATGCAAGGAAATAAAATACAATTAAAAATAAAATGATGAGGTCCTATTTGATGAAATTGGTAGCTGTGTTGAATGACCAGGTGATTTTTTCCCCATGTCCTTAGGATTCTAAATGTAATTTAGAGGTAGAGGTAGGAATCTTCATTTACTACGTAGGATGGTTAGCTTCATGATTTTAAAAAATGTTTAATCAGATTTCACCAAAGAAGATGTTACATGCTTATCAAAAGTTATTTATTAATTTTGCATTCCTTATCTGTTTTCCAGGATGGAGTAGGGGTAGATGAGAAGCTGTCTTTAAGGCGAGTAGCTGTGGTCGAAGATTTCTTTGACATTATCTATTCCATGCATGTGGAAACAGGGCCCAATGGAGAACAAATCAGAAAACATGCTGGACAGAAGAGAACGTACAAAGCAGTAAGTAAAAGAAAAAAGCATCTGAAAATATCTCGTATATATTTATAAAGGGTGCGTTAAGTATTTAAGACTTTATATCCATCACAATATAGTTTATAGCCAAACAATATTCACAACTTTAGTTTAGCTATATAATCTATATTTTATGTTATGTGCCTATGAAACATACATTAAGATAGTATTATATTATATACAGATGAAACCTGCTTATATTGCCCTGACATTCCGGCAAATATATTATTTTAATTTGGAAGTTTCAACAATGGCTATAACCAATACACAATGAGCTATAAACAGAATTGGGTATCACTAGGATACATATCATTATGGATATTATTTACATTTTAGAGTAAAAATTTTTAATATCTTTACAGTAAAAGAATATGTGAACAACTGATTTAATATTCTCTCAATTGACCAGATGAACATATTCTGTTATGAAATTATAAATAATTTCTCTTATCTAATGACATTTATAGGTCTATCTAGATACTTTAATTCAACTTTTTATTTAATTAAGCTATTTTGTTATAAAATTAGATTTAGCAAATTCACATCCTCCTATAAATATTTCATTGTCCTTTTCCAAAAAAAGGTACTAAAGCATAAATCTATGTGCTTCTAACGTGAAAAAAAAATACATTCCATGGACAAAATAGTGATTGATCCATAATTAATGAGCCTTTGTTTTTTGGCTACTGCTATCTTCATTATTTTCAGCTATATTGATACATAATATCAGCCTGGATGCATTTTTTCTTTACAGATACAGAAAAAGTGTGAAATGTTCAAAGTTTCAAATACAGGTACTTATGTTTGAAAATTAGCTACTGAGCATAAGAAATAGCTTCTTTTCCATAACTATTTTTTGCTATATTGCTAGGGTCATATCAGATCTTTAGAGTTGCATAATAACCCTAAATATATGTTGTATTTATTCCCTTATCCCCATGGTTTTGTTTCCTGGCTGTTTCCAAATTGCATGGTATTTGGGCAGGCACTTTAGCAAGTTTTCTCACCTAATTCTGCCAAATAAAGATCACTTTTACTTTCATCTTAGAAGATTTTCTATCATTACTAATGATAGTTGCTCAATTATTTTAGTATTTTGATATAAGCTAATATTCATTGAACACACTAATTTTCACTTATCTTTTAAGCCAGGCTTGAATCCCCGGTCATCACTAGAAAAGAGTAAATGCATTTAACTACTAATCTCACTAACTGCATTCTTTTATGGTATTTCACTTGTATGAAACAGATTTGTGAATTTTAAGTTTCAGTGAGACTTTTCATCAATGGAATACCAAAATACAGTATGTTAAATTAAACTAAAAACCTGCCTTTTTGCACAGTGGTACGTTATCCAGTATACAATATGTGCTAAAAGCAATTTTTTACAGTTTAGTCTTTGAAACACCTTCACTAGAGACTTTTTATTGTTGCAGTAATATGACTTAATAATATAGGCCAACATCTCTCTCTCTTTATGTAATTCTATATTAGCTTTCTTACAGGATTATATGGAGAGAATCTGATCCATAGTCCATGCAAGACATCCATTTAAATTACTTTGTTATAGTATTTCATTTTGTATTAACTATATAAGAATGTTGTTTGCATTATTTTATTGGAGAAACAACTTGAGGAGTATAAGAAGCATCTTAAACTTGGTGTATTCCCTGATGAGAATGGATCTTGAAACCAGTTCAAATTTGAATCCCTCCCAATGGTTTCCCTTTACTTCTGTGCCTTTCCCAGCATGCATTTATTCCTCCCTGTAACTGGTAGTCTTCTTTCTGACATTGCCAAGGTTCCTATTCCTTTGCTCTCTAGTATATTTATATTATATCCCAGTAGTGTAGGTCTTTTATTCCAAGTATCAATAATTAATTACAGAAAAAGTCACCAGTGCAAGCAAAATAATGTGCATTCTATAAAGTGAAGTGTTCATTTAATAGACAATAAAACTATATAATTTTTCATAGAGCTTTAAGGACTGTAATGGCTCCAACCTGTTAATATGTTATTTTCTCTAAGAATTATTGTCATTATAAAGGACATTCATGGAGTATACTGGATAGCTAAAATTTCTTTTTAATTTCAACATTGCAACTCATAGAACAGTCTCCATTATATTCATTATTTTCTTCTCCCCTTCATTCCTCCTCCTCCTTCCAGCTCAACCAATAAAACCAAATACTCTTAATCACATGACTAATCACTAGTGTATTATCTTCATTCTTAGTATTATGGTCAATATAGTCTACATTTTTGCATATCTAGTTTATATCTTGTCATTGTGAAGGAAATGGTTTTTATGTTGGGTTGATATGGGAATAGTATTTAGTTTTATATAGTTATAAGACATCATTCCCTGAAATATCTAGTTGCTGCACAGATTACACATATTTCACCATGATCTGAATTTAGGTACCTGCTTTCTATTTTACATAGACTTTTCTGAAAATCCTCATGAAATGACACATTTAGGAATTTAAAAAGGCTATCTGATCCAACAGGATTATATTTTCAGTCTTGTTTCATTCTGATATCTTCTTTTGCTTTTAATGTATGTGAGTATGTATGTTACTAATATAATGAGCAGATACACAAATGTATCCCATGTAACGCATACCAGTGCAGTTAGCTCTTGATTATTTCCAGTCATGAAGAGGGAACAGTAGTGTGGATACTCTAAAACTGCATTTAGTAACTAAAGACAAAACAAAACAAAAACACTTCTTTAGGGGCTTGGGATGTGCTTTTGTATCTAAAAGTGAATTGGGGCAGCTAGGTGGCACAGTGGATAGAGCACTGGTCCTGGATTCAGGAGGACCTGAGTTCAAATGTGACCTCAGACACACAACATTTACTAGCTGTGTGACCCTGGGCAAGTCACTTAAACCCCCATTGCCCAACCAAAATAAATAAACAAATAAATAAAAGTGAATCTCAGGATTTTTGATGATTGAGGATTTTACTTCAAAGAAAATAGTGACGCCGTAGTATCAAAGAAGAACTGTGATATTTTACAATTTCCCAGTCCTTATTCATACCAGATCTTCCCTGCCACCAACAAATGCTAGAAATAGACCCCTTTCTCTTAGCTGTCCCTCTTCCCCAGGCTTTGTAGATCTGGTTCCTGTAAAACTCCCTCTAGAACTCAGATTGTTTAAATATTTGAATTTGAAAGGGTGCCCCTGTTCAATGCAAAGTAAAAATGGGCAATGGCAGTAGAACAAATAATTAAGTAGAGTTGGTGCTGTCAAAAAAGGGAGCTGTATGTGTTGTTTCCCTAGCAAAGAACAAGTGACTAAGCAGATTATCTCAGGTAAAAATTATATTTGCTGTTGATAAGCCACAAATATAAACAAATGTGAATGATAGATCATATATTTGCTTATGTGCAAAACTGCTGATTAGGACACTGGTTCACTAAAGTAACAACCAACTACAGTGGATGGATGGACCCAGGAAGCAATTTAAATAGCTGTGCCAACTGCTATTACAGTTGTAGTCGTTTATGTTACCATGACTCAAAGCTTGAAAGATAAGGGTAGTGCCAAACATTAACTCCTCACTCTTAGTGTGGTCAGGCGCCTTTGGTCTCTTGGAAAAATCCCAGTTTAGCCTAATTTCTAGCCATTTTCTGTCTAAGTGGAAATTGATGTTTTCCCTGAATTGCTGAGTAGGAAAGTAGAGGTTCAAGTCTCATTGTTCCTGGAAGCCTTTGCTGCCTTCCAGAAGAAACTGAAGTTATGTGCTGAGTTTGGCCTCTTCTCAATCTACATTAAGAACAAAGTTTTCCCTGAAGAGGCAAGAGACAGGGCAGTGAGGGAGAATGGGCAACGGAAAAGAATATGGCAGGTGAAAATGAGGGGGGGAAAGTATACAAAAAGACAGAAGGAGGAAAGTGTGGAACATGATATATTAAAACGGAGATGTAAAGAAGGAAAGCAGGAGTTTGTTTACATGTCTTTGTGTGAAGGGTGTTTTGTAATTGTGTACATATAGTTTCTGTGTGTGTCTTGGCAAGTAGACTCACAAGTATTTTACATTGTCTGCAGTTATTTTAAATAGAATTTTTTTCTGCTGGGTTTTGTTGGTAATATATAGAAATGTTGCTCATTTGTATAAGTTTATTTTATATCCCACAACTTTGCTAAAGTTATTGTTTTGATTAGCTTTTTAGTTGATTCTCTAGCATTTTCTAAGTATAGCATTATACCATCTGCAAAGAGTTATAGTTTTGTTTCCTTATTGCCAATGCTTATTCCTTTAATTTCTTTTTCTTTTCTTACTGATATAACTAGCATTTTCTAACAAAGTATTGAATAATAACACGATAATGGAAATCTTTGCTTCACCCCTGATGCTATTGGAAAGGCTTCTAGTTTATCCCCATTATAGACAATGTTTGCTCGTGGTTTTAGGCAGATATGACTTCTCATTTTAAGAAAAGTTCCATTTATTCCAGTGTTTTTTGGTGCTTTTAATAGGAATGGGTGTTACATCATGTCAAAAGCTTTTCTGCATTTATTGATATAATCATAATTTTTGTTATTTTTTTATTGATATGGTCAATTATGCTTAAAATTTTCTTAATATTGAATCAGCTTTGCATTTCTGGTATATATCCAGCTCGGTCATAGTGTATGATCTTTGGGATATATTGCTGTAGTGTCCTTGCCAGTATTTTATTTAGAAATTTTGCATCAATATTCATTAGGGAAATTGGTGTATAGTTTTCTTTCTTTGTTTTTGCTCTTTATATATCAAAAACTATATTTATGTCTTAGATGGTATTTGGTAGTACTCTTTGTTTATCTATTTTTTCAAACAGCTTTTATAATATTGAAATTAATTATTCTTTAAATGTTTGGTAGAATTTTCTTATAAATCCATCTAGTTTTGTTTTGTTTTTCTCTAGGGAGCTCATTTATGGTTTGCTCAATTTCTTTTTCTGAGATAAGTTATTTAAGTGTCCTATTTCCTAT